GGGCAGAAATTTTATAATTTATACGGATCAAAAACCGTTAATATACGCTTTTAAACAGAACCCTCATAAATGTTCACCTCGACAATTGCGCCATTTAGATTTTATTTCTCAGTACTCTACTGATATTAGGCATGTGCAAGGTTCAAAAAACGTCGTTGCTGACGCTCTTTCAAGAATCGAAATTGATTCCATAACAAAATCTCCATTTTTGGATTTTAAAAAATTTTCGGAAGCTCAACGGCATGATCCGGAGGTACAAGACCTTCTCAAAAACAACACATCATCTTTGAAACTGGAATTTAAACCGTGCCAATATTCTGATGGTAATATTCTTTGTGACATATCAACAGACATTCCTCGTCCATTTGTTCCGAATTCCTTTCGCAGACTCATCTTTAATCATCTGCATAATCTGTCACATCCAGGAATTGCAGCTACTACGAAGCTTATTTGTTCTCGTTATGTATGGCCCGATATGAAACGTCATATCAAAAATTGGGTGAAATCCTGTGAATCTTGCCAAAAATCGAAAATTACTAGGCATACTAAAGCACCACTGGGCACATTCTCTCTTCCTGATGCACGTTTTTCAGAAATCCATATGGATATCGTCGGACCGTTACCTCCATCAGAAGGCAACGTGTACCTTTTGACTCTAATAGATAGATTCTCCAGATGGCCTGAAGCCATTCCCATCCCGGATATGAAAACGGAAACCATTTGCAGAGCCATCTTCAACTGTTGGATATCTCGTTTTGGCTGCCCATCGATCATAACAACAGACCAAGGTTCTCAAATGAGATCCGCACTTTTTGCAGAATTCACGCGCATTTTGGGTACGAACAGAATCACAACAACAGCCTATCATCCAATGTCAAACGGCATTGTTGAACGATTTCATCGACATTTAAAATCTTCTCTCAAGGCTCACGAGACCAATAACTGGACTGAAACACTACCAGTTGTTATGCTTGGTATTCGGACAGCCGTAAAGGAAGATCTACAGTCATCTTGTGCTGAACTGGTGTACGGCACAACTCTCAAGCTGCCTAGTGATATGATAACGTCATCTAAGATATCTCCGTATGACACACAATTTATCACGAATCTTAGGCATAGAATGCAACAATTGAATCCAATAGCAACATGTTACGTAAGTGCTACCTTAAAGTCGTGTACGCATGTATACTTACGTGTCGATCGAGTAAAGCCACCTCTGTGCCAACCATACACAGGTCCGCATAAAGTCCTTTCTAGAACGGACAAAACTTTCACAATTGATGTTAACGGTCTGAAATCTACTGTGTCTATAGACCGTGTGAAACCAGCCTATTTGCTTTCGGACTCTAATTTGCCTGAACTGAAAACAAATAAAGACTTAAAGACAGTTCAGCAGAATAAATCTGCAAACGAACTCTCTAAGACACAAACTGTCACCAGATCGGGAAGACATGTTCACTTCCCTAAGAAACTTGCTTCTTACATAACAATTTAAAACATTTTTTTTAAATTCATATCTTAACATATTTCTTGTTATTTCATGTTTATTATATGTGTCAATACCTTGTTATATATTGAATTGCATTTTGATCTTTTCTAATTTTATATTCTAATTTTGCAATCATGTAAAAAATACCCGACAGCACGGATACTCTGAGATAATTTCATAACCTATGTCGTTCCTTTGAATAGCCATTAAAGGAACTGGGGGGAAACTCTGTGGTGATGGCGATAAGGAGCGCGCCTTGCGCCCTCCGATAAGTGTGGCAACCCTAGAGGAGAAGTTTCTTACGAGTAGCGAGCAGAGCGAAACAGGCAGGCTGTCGGGGAGTGTGCGCGAAGTTCCGAAATAAAGCTTAATTTTTATTGTGCACTATGTCTTGTTAATATTTATATTAATGCAGTAAGAACATAATCTGTGATATGGAATTCGAGGATTGGTGGTAAAAACATAACAGGAAATCTCCATAAACTGCAGCTTAATTAACTTTAATTAATTTTGAGTACTTAATTAACTTAATTACTGTATTAATTAATATATGTGTTTTAGTACAAAATTTGCTATAACTAAATTTACTATATATTGAGGTTTAAAGCTGGTACAATTAAATATGTTGATAATGATTATACCACTTGGTAATGTGCATTAATTTTGATCCATGTATAAGCATCAAATTAAATACATAAACCTTCTTTCCAGAAAATCATTTGGCACAGTATTTTAAGACCTTTCTGAAGAGTGTTTGTTACTTATGGAAAAGTACCATTTTAAATAATGTGCTTAAATTTTAAATGCCATATATACCCACATATAAGTTGACAATTTAAAAAAAAAAATCTAACTTCGAAGTAAAGGGTCAACTTATACGTGGAACCTAAAAAAAAAAAAAAAAAAAAAAAAAAAAAGAGCCACTGATCAGTGACAGGTCACCGAACTTGATTATTAAATATACCATTCATGCAGAAAAAACACAACATTTTTATTTATTCTTCCAATTTTATTTATTAATTTTTTAGTTAAATTTGTTTCAATTTTATTTTCTGTTTATTAGAAAAGTCCCCCCTTCATTTCATTATTTGACATCACAGAGCAATTCATGTACAATATCTGTGAAGCACTCTTTGATTATTATAACCGTATCAAATCAGTGACTCTAACCATATGGAATGTCTGTCTGTCTATTAATCATGATCATAGACATGCTTTCTTACATTTCCTGCTCTTCGTAATGTCTGATTTAGCGGAATCTACAAGAAAATGGCTCTTTTCAAAGCCTCATACTCCCTGCAATAAGTTGTGTGAAGCAAACGTGAATGTCTTATACTGTGAAATTCAAGCTGAAAGTAGCTTCATTTGTATACTTGTCTTAAGTACAAAAAATTAAATTGCATCATCACGGAAGTTTGACGTGATTGAGAAGATGAATCGGGGCTGGAGGGAAAATTTGCCTATATTAAAGGAAGCCCCTTACTCTAGAAAGGCTCTGCGTCACAGATTGGCCTCTTTTCCAGAACTATAAAAGGCTTTAAGTGGCTGGATTCTAGACAACAGACGGCAAGGTTATGCCATAACCAAACTGCCATACGTATGTGAGCCATGAAATTCGGCAAATATGAAAAATTAATGAAATAACTCTTTTCATGCATCACAACACTGGTGCACAAAATTCATGAATCATTATGAACTGTTTACAGCATCGTAACAAAATTTCACAGAAATTGTTTAGTCAGCTCGAAGATGAACTAAACTTCCAAAAGTATGTAATCGAACAAAGAAAAATAACTAATTTTTAAATGTCCCAAATATGGCCCCCATTACATGATGAACATGCACACACTGAAACATGGATAAAACCCTCATGACTTTTGATCTCCCTGAAAATTTCACTGTTGATAAAGAGGGTGAAAAAACAATTCATGTAAAAACAACTGGTCATGAGAAAACTCATTTCACAGTAGTTCTTACTTGTTCAGCAAATGGCAATAAGTTGCCTCCCATGATTATTTTCAAGCAAAAAATGTTACTGAAAAAGACAGCTTTTCCAGCAGGTGTTCTTGTTCATGCCCAGAAAAATAGTTGGAGGATGACACCCTACCGATTGATTGGTTTCAAAATTGTAAGGTGCAAAAAACCAGGTGCACTTTTAGGGAAACCTTCAGTTTTGATTTGGGATATGTTTCGACCGCATTATTCAAAAGTTGTAAAAAAGCATGCAGGAAGTTCAGAAACAACACTTTCTAAGATCCCAGAAAGGCTAATATCCATTTTACAAGCACTGGATGTCAGCATAAATAAGCCGTTCAAGGTGAATATGCATATGTATTGGGTGGAATGGATACAATATGATTTGCCTACTAAAACCAAACGTGACAATATTAGAAAGCTGGATATAACTTTAATTGTGCAGTGGGTGAAAGATGCTTGGGACATGATTCCAACTGAAATTATATTTATTATTAAAAAAGTGTTGCATTTCCAATAACTTGGATGGCACAAAAGATGATACAATCTATGCAAATGACAATAATGACACTAGCTGTGATGAATTGAGTGATGAAATTTATGAAGCCTTGCTAATGACTGAGAAAGAATTTCAGGATTTATTTGCAGATTCTGGCTTTGAATCAGAATTTGAAGGATTTGAATGAAATTCTTTGAAAATTTTGTACGTATTTTAAAATTTTATTATGTGCTAAAGTAATGGAAATAAAAAAAGTTCACTAAAGTATGAGTGTAACTTTATCAAGTACACTGGCATGCTGTTTTATCTCTTGCAACAAATTTGTTTTCCTGAAAAATTTTCTCAAACGTCAGGGGATTGACTTATACGCAGATATATACGGTAATAATTTCTCAAAGTAGGCATCAGCAGTCTTTTTAATATGCAAGCACCTGCTGTTAATAATGATGTGTAAGCTTATTGTTCAGCATTTATCTGTTATGCTGTAATATGTCAGTTTCTTATCTAATATTCAATAAAATTTTAAGATACAAATAAGTCAAAAATATCACTTAATACTTCTGTACTGTTACAGTTTAACTTTTAGTATTAAATCAATCAATTTAACTCCTTGAGAAAAACTGTATTTTCAAGTTTAAAGCAATAACAATGTATGTTTTTTAATTTTTCCTTGAATATGGTGTAAAATTTGTTTTTTTTTTTTTTTCATTATATTGAACATTATCAGTTACAAATTTTGTGGCTTTCTAAGTATCATTTCTATTTTTCATTTGAATTGGCAAAATAATGTGATAAGCATTAAGAATAAATCATTTGCACTTTCTTAAATCCATTTTGAATATGCCATCATATTCAACTGTAGAGTTTAAAATTAGCTGAATCAATTTGTTTTAGTTAGTTTTTAGTCATATTTATTTCTTATTGAATTGTAGTTGCAATATTGGTTTTTTATTTTGAAAAGTTGCATTATATTTGTAATATGTAATTGTCTTCATTCATCATTAAACTATTTTTAGCTAACAATGTGTTTCATTACAGAACTGTGCCCTGACAATGGATGATGATATTGAGCCTCCTCGTGATCCAAAAGTTATTACTGCTCAATCTCATTTTTCAGAATGTGATCTGCAAGGTAGATTTTTGTTTGAATGTATTATTAGTCTAAGTAAAGTGTTCTAATTGTGATAATTTTTTACTAAAAATGTAAATTTTCCCCCCATAGGCTAAGTATAATTTTTTAATACTTTTTAGACATTTCATTTTCATTTTTGTTTGCATTATATTCATTAATATTGTATTTTACATTAAAAAGGGTTTATTTGGTACAGAGTACTTATCAATTTAACCCTCTGAGTGGCATGACCGCCTTTATCCGGTCATGAGATTTTTCGTCATTTGATACATATTAGCTTTAACTTAGGATATTTTGGTTTCTTACTTTCTTTAATAATGCAAATGTAATCTTAATGAATATAAATTTATGAAAATAAAGCCTAGAATAAGTAATTATATAAATTTAGCTCGTAAACTCTGCATAAATACAGGGCTTCATGACAGATCCAAAAACCTGTGCTGCTCAGAGGGTTAAACAACATGTTGTGAGAACTTCATTGCTTATTATTTCTCTGTAACTATATAAATCTATATTGCACATTTAATTTTCATTTTTTTTTTTATTTGAGGAGCTCAGTTAAGTTATCAAGCTCAATCCTTTTATCTGATTACTGCCTAAGAGTGCCAAACGGTGCCGAAATCATCCTGTAATTCCTCACAAACCTGTTTTCCCTTTGTAAAAACAGGCAAAAATTATAATTCATTTTGGGCTTTTAAAAAACATGATGTCTCTCGTCTCAAACTGTCTTTAATGGGCTCTGTTATCATATACCATACCAAAGTTTCAAACCAATTCCTTGCAGGAGAAGTAGAATAATAATTAAGCTATTATTTTTCGGGAAGTCACCTTTAGTATTTAATATATTATCTGTTTTTGATATGTGTTTATCGAAACAGCCATTTCTAGCCTATTACTTTTGATGAAAAATATTTCTTTAATACTGTACAAAGTCCGAGATCTAGACATCCAATATCCGTAATGATCTAAAATCCAGACCTCAAAACAGCCAACAACTTTTTTTTAAAAATGATTTACGAATGCGCGTTTGATTTTTTTCCCCCTTGAGATAAAACATATGGAGAGTCCTGATTTTTAATTTCACTTCATTAAATAAATAACCTTGTTATTTAAGAAACAATAATTTAGCATAAATTTGTGATCAGTAATTTGGATAATATTAATAGTAATTTTAGCATTGTGTGATCAATAATTTGGCTCCGTACCTGAGTATCTGCTTCTCATACATGTCAAAACGAAATATTCTACATAGAAACATCATTCATTTTACACCTACTAATATTTTGTATCCCTGACGCCAACCTGCCGAATCATTATTTATTATATTTTGCTTTCGTTGCCGCATATTTGTCCACACATGACAACTTGAGTTATTTTTATATTAGTATAAAGAGTATGGTAAGCTTTTATGTTGGCATTGTTACGCTTGGCAATGATTACAGATGTAAATTAAATGTGCTAAGAAATATTGACGAGGAAAAATTTAACAAAAATTTCTTTCCATATGCTAAAAGGAGATTTTGTTAATGATACTCTTAGGCCAAAAGATTACATTTAGTGCTATTTGAATGAAGAATAACTGATTTGTTTTTCACATAAACCCAGAACCGGCGCCAGAGCTCGTATTACTGCACAGGGTAGCAGAATTTAGGGATGACAAGAGTTTTGGAATTTAAAGAAGCACCGAGCAACAAAATTAAACAATGAAAATATTTTTAGAATTTAGGGAAAGCACTGGGATCCAAAATTTAGGACTTAGGGAGGTGCTTGGTGGCAGAATTCAGGGACCAGCAGAGACTGCACCAGGCGGTAAGATACCTAGCGCCGGCCCTTGATAAGGCTTAAGTATATGTGGGAATTAATTTATTCAGGATTCAGATAAACTTTAAGCATGTGCAAGAAATAGACGTAAGTATAATAAATAACTAAACTAATACAATCAGGTTTAATTGTCTTAGTGCACGATAGTAGCAAGGCAAAATTTAGCGGAACAGCTTCTCTCTCCTAGCCAATCTCATGACGCGTAGACAGTAGTCTATAGCGGACACTAATAAACTAGGCTAAAACTATACATTACTGATTCCAAGTTGATTTCAGCCAATATAGCAGATTGCACTGTTCCTTAACTTTCTGATTTGTTCCATCCAGCTTAATTATTTTTTGCAGGCTGTTTTTATTACAACAATTTGATGAAAATTAGTTTCAGCCTTCAGTCACGTCAAAAATAGTTTCTAATTATGGAGCTGCAACAGAATCTGCCAAGCAAAAGCATGTTTCGATGTCCATTAACCAAAAAGTAGAATTGCTGCAAAAAATGGATAAAGGTATATCCGTCTCCAAATTATATGAGGAGTATGGCATTGGAAAGTGAACTGTGCATGACCTAAGAAAACAGAAAAGGAATTTTTTATTTTATTTATTTATTTATTTATTTATTTTTTTGATTCTGTCACCCCTACTTGCAGCAAATAACAGAAAAAATGATTGGTTTTGCTTAAAGTGAAGATCACAACAAAGTGATAAATGAGTGGGTGCTTAAAGTGAAGATCACAACAAAGTGATAAATAGCACGCAGTGAATGCATGCCATTGAAGGGTCAAATGGTAATGGCGCAAGCTAAAATATTTCACTAAGAAATGAATTTAAAAACTGAGTGCACATATTCAACGGATTGGTTAATGCAATTTAAAAATCTCCATGGTATAAGGCAATTAAGAATTTCAGGTAAAAAAGCTTCAGCTGAAGCTGCTGAACTATTTGCAGATGAATTCATTGACCTTGTTAAAAGTTATTTCCAGAACAAATTTACAGTGCTGATGAAACTGGTCTTTTCTAGAAATATGTACCGCAAAATACCTTGGCAACCTCTACAGAATAGTGTTGTGTCGTGTCTCCACCTTGTGTCAAAGATTCCAAAGCAAGACCAGCAATTTTAGCATGGGCAAATGTGGCAGGAACGCACAAGTGTAAACTTTTCATAATCAGAAAAAATATACGACATCGAGCATTTAAAGGAATAAAACCTTTCCCGTTATATATATTGTGCAAATAAAAGAACGTGGAGGTCACAAGTGTTAACGAATGATTATTTTGAAAATCATTTCATACCCAAGGCTCAACAGAATTCAGTTGGTTTACTTGACAATGCAAAAATTGTTCTGGTTGTAGACATGAATTGTTTACATGAATTTTACCATTTTTACATGAATTGTTTTTTCACCTTATTGTTCGGCTCATACTTCACATAAAGATTAGTGTAGCAATATGTACTGCAAAATACCTTGGCAACCTGTATAGAAAAAACTCTAACTGGTGTTAAAGATTCCAAAGCGAGACTAAACATTTTAGCATGCACACATGCGGCAGGAATGCACAAGAATAAACTTTTCATAATCGTAAAAAATACGTGACCTCGAGTATTTAAAGAAGTAAGAAGTTTCTCTTTATGTATCGTGCAAATAAAAGAACATGGATGACACACGTGTTAATGAATGATTTTTTTGAAAATTATTTCATATCCAAAGCTCGACAGAATTCGGTTGGTTTAGCTGATAACACAAAAATTGTCCTGATTGTAGACAACTGTTCGGCTCATACTTCACTGAAGTTTTAGTGCAAGATAATGTATCCATATTATTGTTTCTTTCAAATTGTATGTCAAACATTCAGCCTATGGAAATTGGAATGGGCATGCACCGAAATGCAAATATAGAGTAGAATTTTTAAAATCCATGTTAAATTTCTTGAATAAGGCAAGACTATTAAAATATTTTTGAAATATTTTAGCATAAAATCTACACTGTAGAGCATCGCATGATTGTGGGAGGATGTGTCTCTAGTTAGTTTAAAAAATGCTTGGTATAATTTATGTCCAGTTAACATATTTCATGGTGAGGTTGTGAATTCGATAGCCACGAATGTGAAGATTTTCAGATATTGCAAACCAAGGGTTAAATTTTCCAGATAATGGATTGTTTAAAGAAATGTGGAGAAGCAGTAATAAACGAAGATGATATAACATAAGTTTTTCATTGTGATGGCAATGCCCCAATTAGCAGTCAATTGACGGGCAGCAAAATCTGTGGTTCTAGTTCAAGAAAAAACCACTACCAGTAGTGAAGAAAGTGACAGAGAGGTTACTGAAAATTTCAATTGACAAGTTAGTCGAAATTCTCAACACAGCAATTACAGGACTTGAACTTTGTAACTGAATAAGAAATTACTGTGTCTGCCTACAGAAAATATTAACACAAAAAAAAAGCAACTTAAACAACTTATATTGAAAGAAATGTTTAATAAAGTATAAACAAATAAATATTAAACTGTTTTTTGTAAATTTTGTTACCCTTTAGATTATAAATGCTTAATTATTTCATAAATCACGATTTCATATTTTTAATTTTATAATTTCTACATGGCATCTTACAACTTTTAAACTGATGATCTAATATCCGGAAAAATCCAAAATCCAAAATCGCCGAAGTCCCAACGAGTCTGTATCTGGGGCTTTCTGCTGTACTTTATATCCTGTATTTGTGATGAATGTTTCTTAGTACTCATGTTTTGCTATCATGTCACAAGTCTGTTATGTGCTCACTAAATAACGATGATTTTTGCTTTAATATATATATTTAATTTCATTTCATCATTTGTGTGATTTGGCTTTCTTGTATGTTTTCAATATTATTAATGTGAATCATTTTTCTGCATTAAGATAAAAAAAGTTTTTTTTTTCCCCTTTAAAAATATCTGAAAATCATATTTTGGTTAAAATGACAAAATAATGTCATGAAGATTAAATCCTTTTCAGTTTCTTAAATCTATTCATTTTCTGTCATCAAACTTAGCTTACATTCTATCATTTTTGGCAGAATCCAAAATTTAAATCTGCAAATAAACACATAAGGTTTTAAAATGTAATTATTATTATTATAAATAGTCTTTTCTATATCTTTCCTTTAGCTGAAATTAAAGTTCTATAGTAAGTTTAATGAAGCCAGATTTTTTTTTCTTTCCTTCAGATCCCATTTACTTGATGAATAAAAATCTAATAATTCTGCTTTGTCACTTTTCATTAATATTTCATTTGTATTTTATATTAGCTTCTTATACTATATAAACTCTATTTTTAAGAATATAATTTAATACCAAGATTTGATAGTGTGATTAAGACAATAGAATGCTTGTTACAATTTTTTTTTTTTTTTACATACAAGGGTTGGAACTTTAATAGTGGCAACTATTTATTTACAAGGAATACAAAAGTGATTCATGTCACCATGTTTTGCAGTCCTTCAATATAGTCGCCAGCATTGTGTACAACCCGTTTCCAACCATGTGGAAGTTGCAGAATACCTGTAGCAGCGCCTGTTTTGTTGATATTTTGAATGGATAGGTCTACTGCTGCAAGAATCTCAGGAACAGTTTGAAAACGAGTGCCACGAAGTGGTTCCTTCATTTTAGGAATTAAGTCATAGTCACAAGGGCTTAGATCTGGGGAGTATGGTGGATGGTAAATCACTTCCCAGCCCCCATCGCTTGAAAAAATCGGTCACAGTTTGTGCTGCATATGGCCGAGCATTGTCATGCAAAATGAGAGGAGGGTTCTGCAGAAAGTGTCGCCGTTTTTTTCTCAAAGCTGGTCGGAGATTGTGCTCCAAAAATGAGCAGTAATGCAGCGCAGTGACGGTCTGCTGTGGGGGAACTTTATGCATTAGGATGACACCATCACAGTCGTACACAAAAAATCACCATAACTTTCACAATGCTGGGGTTCTGATGAAATTTCAAACATCGTGGTGACCCGTGATGACGCCATTCGTTTGATTGGCGTTTTAGTTCTGGCTGGTATGATCGTACTCAAGTCTCATCCAGCATAATAGTATAATAGTCTCATCCAGCATAATAGCGCTCCAGGCGTAAAAAAGCATCTCCTTCGCGCTCATAGCGCTCCAGGTGGGTTCGGGCAACATCCTATCGTAGCCATTTGTGCATTTCCGTCAATTAATGTGGAACCCATTGTGAAGCAATTTTTCTCATGGACAGGCATTCCTTCAGAATGTGCAGCACAGTCATATGCGCTAATCCTGTTTGTCCGGCCAACTGACGAATCGTTTGGCGGCGATGACTGTCCATTAGTGCGGCAACAGCTTGCATGTCTGCATCTCTGACACTCGGACGACCTGGCCGCAGCATGTCTGCCACATTTTGGCATCCTTCATTGAAATCTTTCACCCATCTTGCTACGGTTCTGTAAGGCAATGCAGATTCCCCGCAAGCCTCTTGAAGCCCTTGATGACACTATCGTGCTGTACGACCTCTGGCACATTCAATTTTTATCCAACATCGTTGTTCTTGTTTTGAAAATATCCTGACAACACTTACTTTAGACCGCGAACTAATACAAGGATCCGTTCTTCGCGTCACTCCACATGCACGTGACGTAGGCAGGACGAGTCTTTTTGTTGGGAGGTAAGGTAGGTATGTAGTTCACGTATGGTATACGCGATATTCTTTGTTTTTGTTGCGTAGCGTTTTTTTCAGCTGTGGTGCCACTATTAAAGTTCCAACCCTCGTATTAGCCAGAAAGTTTTAGGTTGTATGTCAACCGTATAACATTATATATATTATTACTCTTTGAAAAAAAGCACCTCATTCAAAACACTGTTACTATTGAGCAATTTAGTATGGAAAATGTTTACATAAGTTTAGGAAAAGAAATAATATAAAATTTATGCTTAATGCAACCAAAGTGCTTCTAATGAGCAATGAATGTATAATTATATTGCATAATTAATCCTTTAAAAATTGTATTTTCAGATCACCGAGCATGTACACTTTATATAGGATATTATGTTCCTGGATACAGAAGAAAAAGCCATCACAGGCGTAATCGTTCTCACCACCACAAACCTGGATACAGTCATGGATCTGAGTATGGTCATGACATTAGCAAACCAGGTTAGTTTCAGATAATTTCATTTTGAATATATAATTAACTTCTTTAAATATTGTAGAGACCACTGTAGCAAAATGCGTTTTTATTTGCCATTATGTTTAAAATTACTTATTTTTAATGTGATATTAAACAAAATTTTTTGACTAATTTTGAAAATCTTAACTTTGTATATTATCATTTAAGAAGTCTAATTTATAATAAAATGTAGTACTGTCTGTAAATTATGCTGCCAAGTTTTGTTATATTTCTTTGATTTTTTTTTAAACATTAGATAATATTTTTTTGTGTTTCTGTGATTCTTTGCTTACAAACCTAATTTTTAGAAAAGCCTCATGATGAAAAGAAAATACAGTAATTTAGCAATACTTCTTTAGTAGTTATAGTTAATTAGATGTTTCAGAATGTAGTATTTTAATGTAATTACGAGATAAATACTTGATTTGTTGGATAAAAATTATGAAATAGCACATGTATATGGCATTGTGTACAACCTGTCCGACTTCTAAAGCTTACCAGAGATTAACCTCTTTGTCGTCCATAACGCGTCTAGTGCGTTCAAGTGAAACATCTGCAGGGCGGCCATAACGTGCTTCAAGCGTTCTACATTTTCAAACTTTTAAAATGCTTTCTAAATGTTTACTTCTTTGAGTTTTTGTTTGTTCTAATACCTCCTAGAGGGCAGTACTAATCAGGCATTCTATTTCTAATTGAATTTCCCCTCCCCCGGGTTTTATTAATATTCGCACCATTTTTACATAAGATAGAAGACAGTAAGAGATCTTCAACGTCTACTCAGAAAAAGAGAAAAAATTGTTGTGAATTGAAAAGACAAGAAGGATATACGTTTGATGAGTACAGTCCATAATAACTCTATGATTGATGTTGAAACACGGAAAAGAACTGTAAAAGTACCAATAATTATAAAAGATTACAACAACAAAATGGGAGGAGTGGACCGCCTAGATCAGATGTTATCAAATTAATCCTGCTGTTAGAAATAAGCAGAGATATTATTATTTTTCCATTATGCTTTATTTCCTTATAATTTTACTTAATATTCATTTAAATTCATCCACCATGAAAGTTATGTATGGAAAGTTTTGTATGTACAGAGAAAACAACATTACCACACTGCGGAAAACAAAGGGCCACTGGGGAGACATTTTGGCGGACAGGAGAGGAGGGCAAAAGGGTTAATAGGGCTTCTTACAGGTATTATAATTGTTATGTGATACATGTAACAGAATCTAATGATTGAATTTATGATGCAAAAGAAATTTTAAACATTTAGAAAGATATATCATACCTGCCAACTTGTACGAATTTTTCGTAATTTTTACGAAAATGCGTTTGTCTTTACGATTTTACGATCGTAATCCATTTTTTACGATTTTTTTCCTTTTTCAAGTGTTTTTAGTGATTTTTGTCCAAATTTTAGAATTTTTCGCCAATTGCATCGTGTTTTACCGACTACTTCGAATCCAGTAACCTGCGGTTTCTCCCAACTCGCCGCTAAACCAGCCAATCCAATGTGCTGAACTTGTAGAATTACTCAGCTCGGATTCAGCGAGCGTGGATTGTCGCATTCTGCTTTTTTCTGTTTTTTGCACGTGCTACAAATTTTCTTAATACGTCGTTGTTACGAAATGAGTTAAAAAAAAACGTATTCTCAATATTTTCGGCTGCCTACAAAGCCGAATTTCCAACAATTAAAGAATCCTTCAAAGGAAATAACTGCATTTTGCAACGTCTGCGTGTGTGACTTCATAATAAGTCACGGTGGAAGAAGCGACATTGTGAAGCATGTTAAGTCTAAAAAGCATGAAGTTAATGCTTCGGCTTCGACAACGTCAAAGAAAGTGGATGATTTTTTTTTTTCAAATTTGGCTACGAATTCGGATGCCGATGTCATTTTGGCAGAGTGATTGTTTACTGCATTCCTCATCGAACACAACGTGCCGCTAAGCGCTGCACCGGTCAACTTTTCAGACGGATGTTTCCCGACTCCAAGATTGCTCAGAAATATCAAACCAGGGAACTTGTAAATTCTTTGAAAGATCATGCGAAAAAATTATTTTTTCAATGTGTCAGAAAGTACTTTTCCTCAGCCTGTGATTACATTGTAAGGAAGTTTCCTTTGCAAAATGAAGTTCTTTTAAATGCTGAAGTGGCAAATTTGAAACAAATTGAAAATTCATCTTTTGAAAAGATTCGTTTTTTTATTGATAAATTTCCATTTTTGTTAACAATTAAAGAAAATGAATGCCATAATGATGCTTTAGATGAACTACAGAACCAATTTTCTGCTGCACAGTTTGAAGACTTTGCCAGTTCTGGAGAAGATAGACTTGATGTCCTCGTTGGTACCTTAAAAAGAATAAAAAGAGCTGATGGAACACCAAAATATGATAGACTAGCAAGAGCTTTATGTGCTATTCTCGTAATTTCACACAGTAATGCTGATTGCGAGAGAGTCTTCAGTGTTGTGAAGAAAAACAAAACTATGTTTCGTTCTTCAATTTCACCAAAAACTCTAGAAAACATTTTAATTGCTAAATGTTATGAGGAAACTAATTGTTTCCAAAGAATTTTTGGCTAAAGCCAAAAAATGCTCTCTAAATTCATTGCAATAATTTTTTTGTGTAACATTAAGTTCTTGTTTTATGTTTCCTAATAAATTTTTTAGTTACTACTTAATTGAGATTTACTAATGTAAGTACAATTTTCTTTTTTCTATTCGTATAAATTGTTGTTTTTTTTTTTTTTTTTAAATATCAAAGCATGATATTAATTCTTCGTGTTCTTCTGAATTTTGGAGAAATCTTCTGAATTTGGGGGAGAAATCTTCTGGATTTTTATCTTTAGAGGTTGGCAGGTATGGATATATTGAATAAATTACTAAAACTAATTTAATTTGTTGTTCTATTTATTGATAAGTAACTGCGATTTTTATGTTAGAGGGAAGAAGTGAAAGTAATAATCATTCACTCAAATAGCTGTTTTCCCATATAATTTTTTTTTAGTGCTTTCACATTATCTAAACCAATTCTGAAAAGAATTCACTATGTTGTCCAGATAAGCAACCCATAATAATGTAAAAAAACTACTTAGTTCAACACAGTTACATGCACATGTGCTGCGCATCAGTGTGGATTTTTGGCTTTTCAAATTTGACAGTCATTTTCCTGGTTAGTGCTTGTTCTAATTAATGTTTGTGGGGATTTATTTGGTAAAGAATTGAGGTGGGACTGTGGAGTTTTCCAGCTAATGGAAAAGAAAGCATTGCATTTTTTCAGAAATACTGTGTTTTGCCTAGTAATACAGAATGCAAAAATTTGCATTCCAGAAAGTTGTATTTCATAAACAATCAAATTTGTGCACCGATTTCATAATTTCTGCAATTCTGTGATGTTTTTTAAATGAAAACAGGTTGTTGTACACATGTGAAAACAACAGCATGTGCAATACCAAATTAGTGCAATTTTCTTATTTTTTTTAAGCAAAAGCAGATCATCGTGTACATGGGGAAACAATAGTGTGCACAGTGCCAAGTTTCTACAGCTCTCTAATGTTTTTTAAAGGATGTGTAGCAACACAGCTGTAACTTCTTGTGTAGTTTGTTGAATTTAATTACTTCTGTGCTTTAAAAGAAGACTCAACTAATGAGTATATCTCAAGAATTCAAAACTTTTATTATTACAATTTTAAACAGTTCACATGACATTCAGCTAGCACAGTAACACGTGCATCACAACAACATCACATAGCATGAGCGCCATTAAAGTTAAAGTTATTTTAAATATACATCACAACAGCAACGTAGATCACTGTGTAGGTAGGGCGAAGAGCAGGGAAAGATAAGTTTTGTATTATGGATGTTTCTTGTATTTTTGACTTTGTTACTTCATTTCTGTCTCATGTAATTCTTAGCATGTCATAATTTTTAAGGTGGCTGTTGTCTTTTGCACCCTAAGTTGGAAAAAAATTAGCTGCCAGTATTTGACAACATTTCCAAAAGGTTGGGTGGATAATCAGAAAGTACTTAAAAAAAAAAAAAAAAAAAAAAAAAAAAAAAAAAAAAAATTAGTGTTTTTAAGATTTTATTTTTGCAGTGAAGCAATGGAACAAAAACACTAGTTTGGCATGTCTTATCAAAATATTTAATTTTTTCTACTAGCTTTTTTAGACTGAATATTAATGTAGTATAATTCTGTTACAGATTTAGTACATTCATGCATGTTTTGAAGCATTATAAAAGAAAGGCATTTCTTTATACTTGTGGTGCTATTTACTCAATAGGAATGCCTGTCATGATTGCAAAAAGCTAAACTGTTATCTTCTTTTTTCAGCAAGCATATTTATTTGTTTAATTATTTAACTAAAGGCACTATTTAAACAGGAACTATAAGTTCTGATAGACTTCGGTAATAGCTATAGGAAGAGCACCATGAGCTGTTAAGTGCTGAAAGTTTTCACTTCTGAATTTCATTAGATTTTGTTTTTCTAAACTTGTAATATCTAATTTTCTTAGCTATCATAAAGTGTAACTAGATCTATTTAAATGTTGATACTTACAAATTCTCACACAGGCTTGCAGATGAACACAACCAGGGGAATGATGTAAAAAAACCCTTTTATTGAATACAAAATGTTTAACAGATAGCACAGACTTATGTGCTTACAAGAACATCAACCACTTTTAGTGAGAAATTAAAAGTTGATGCAGTACTAAATTTAAAGAGTAGTGCAAGAATTCAATTTAAGCTAACAGGTTGATTCAGAAACGTACACCAGTAGGATAATAATTCAGCTACAAGAATGCGTAGCCAATATTAAGGTTAACAGCTGGAAGAAATTAGCATCATGCCCTTACAATAGCAAAATTATACTCTGTGTAATCTTTTCACTCCAACAGTTTAAATACTCTCGTTCATCCTAACTCATTTACATTCTGACAAGAAAATACGAGGGGAACAAGAATATTCAGGAAAAGCAT